GACCCATGGGACCTTATTTCGGAAAAAGTATGCATTGAAGTCAATGGAGAGAAAGATTATCTCTCGATCCCGTTTGAATTGTGCCATGAATTACACACATGATGTTTGTCACTTAAATAATAATTTCCACATCAAAAAAGTCACAGTTTGTCGTAAAACTGTTGAAATATAAGACTATGAAAAATACGCAACTAGAAAGACTACAAATCCCAGAGTCCCGGTCCCGCATGCTGGCTCTCACGGAACCGACTAACTCCCCTTGTGTGTACGCACAGCTCTCAACGTGCCCAGACTTGGAGTGATTTTCACCTCTTTTAATACTTTTCGCCTCATTCTGAAAGAAAGAAGTGAAATGTTTCAACGTGACGGCCGTCTTGGTGTGTGGTGCGAGACGGGAGATGTAGTTCATTGAGCGGTTTCACAAAACAACGTGTTACTTCACAGTTTTACGACACATTTAAAATGTTTTGACTTGCAAAATTATCTTTTAAATGGACAAACATATGTGTAATTCGTGGCACAATTCAAACGGGATCAAAAGATAATCTTTCTCTCTCCATTGACTTCAATACATACTTTTTCAGAAATAAGGTCCCATGGAGGAAAGGGAGGGACTTCGCCTCTCTATAGTTGAATCAATTCTAAACCGTCAATACTGTATATTCTAGATCCGCTCCAACCTTGTTAACATGCCCTAATGTTAACAATCACACAGGTTCAATTCCAATTTGTATTTTAAACACTAAATGTTTTATGTAAGACGGGAGAATTTAAAGGGATTGAATCAAAGCCTGGAGAGGACATTTAAATCTTCATTACGGCTTCTGATATTATGGATGATATCACTACAGCTGTAGTTTTATCAGATCTTGAGACACAAACACAGGTATTACCTTTGGACTTCCTGAGGGGGCAGGCCTCAGATGTCCTCCAGATGAAGACATATTCACAACCATCTAAACGGTCAAACATGGGGGAGCCCTAGAAATAGATGAACACATAAATACTCATTAAAATCTATTGGTTAGTTTAATGTCCTCTGTCTCGTTATCATGGAATACAAAAACAGTAAACTGAAGAGGCAGTTCAGAAACAACTGCAAATCAAGCTTAGCATTGATGATTGAACGCAAATGAGCTTAGGTTGTTTTAAAAGCTAAATGTCACTTAAACCACTGGCATAAATGTTTTTATGGTTTGAGATAATTACTTGGAACATGGAAACTACTAGAAGGTACCAAAACTCTAGTGAAAATAAATCACTCTTGGTAACATTTGTAGTGGAACATTTAAAAAGTCAGCTTAATATTGTATTAATATAATATATCTTTATTGTCATCAGGGCTCTCGACTAACTTTTTTCACCATCCTCCCGGAACCGTCTTCTACATTATCATTAGTTAAAATCATTCAAAGTGACCTTTAACATAAATAAAACATCATACAAATCATTAGATGATAATTCATCAACCTTTTTATTTGAGTAAATCATTCAAACACAGAAACAAAGGCCAAATATATTTAAACAAACGAGAAAGTTACTCTAATATTGAATCCAATCAAGTGCCATCCAATTAACAAAAACATCCAACACTCAGAACCCAGAGTAACCACTAACCAGGATGACAGTCTGTCAGTCAGGAGACCTTTACAAACCGCCCCGCCCCCTCGCACACAGACGGGAAAGAGAGATCTCGTCTAGATTGGAAAGATCGAAAATAAGATCGAAAATACATCATAGACGCATGTTGCAGTCTTTTTGCGTATTAGAAACGGAGTTGGTGAAACTAAAACTGCAATATAATGTGTATGTAGCAATAACACATATGACATATATTTTTTAAATGTCTCCAGCACCGATAAAAAGTCCGATAACGTCGGAGCTTAACGTTACCACTGTCTTTAATAATTCCGGCCCGGGGCCCGTTTAATACCGGGGCTCGGTACCCATCCCTACATGGAGAGAGGCAGCATATTGCTAAGGACTAAATACGATGGAGAGTTCTCTTCTCAGCCTTATTACCCATAGGGGATGAAGAGGAGTCAGTAAATAAAGAGGCTGGCACTCCAGGGTCTGGTTCTGCTGTGCGTTTTTGTGATGTAACGGTAAAACATTTCAGAATTCCTCCACGAGATGCCATTGTACATCACTCAACCCGCGAAATACACACACTCAGTAGGCTACATAGTTAGACCCGAGAATTTGCGGGCCAGGAATTTGCGGACACAGCTGTAGCTACGTACTGTGTGTGTGTGTGTGTGTGTGTGTGTGTGTGTGTGTGTGTGTGTGTGTGTGTGTGTGTGTATTTCGCGGGTTGCTAAATATTTTGTGCGTGTGTGTTTATGTTGACAAGGAGGTTTAATAACTGTGTGCTACACAAAACGTGCAGTCAGTTTCATTTTCATCGCCGTTCATAGTAGAGTTAGCAGGGTATTTTTATTTTAACTCTCGTCCCAAAATGATTTTGTTTCCTATTTTTTTCGGCCCCGGGACGACGGGACGTCCTTAAGCTCGAGCCCTGATTGTCATCATACAAAGTACAACAAAATGTCTTTGGCAACTCTCACTGCAGTAAAAAATAGACACAAATAAATAAATACGAGTGGTAAAAGCAGAGGTAGTAGCGATGACAGCAACGAGATTGTCAATGTGTATATTTACACTTACAGTCTAAAAACGTTAAATGTGTAGTGTATTTCTCACTGTGTGTTCATAGAGGGTTATATGTAGTAACCAAAGGATGCAAGTAAAATAGCCATACATATTTCTAAATAGTAGTGGTTGCAGTCTTTGAGGGGCGGGTGTGTTTATGAATGTTCACAGTTGTGTGCTCTGAGGTTGGACAGGGTAGAAGCTGCTCCTCAGCCTGTTGGTGTATTGTGAATGTGATACTCACGGGGTTGTCGTCACACTGGAAGAGGATGCGTGTGGAGTAGCGGGAGCTGTTGTCGCAGCGGTCGCCGTTCTGGTACACGATGCTGATGGAGCCGTCCTCCGCCGCCCGAGGGCTCGACAGCACGTAGCCCAGGTTGTAACTCTTGTCACCGATCGTGGCACAAGAACCCAGAGGACCCACTGACGAGAAGAACAACAAGTATTCAACTAAAATGTGACCGGAAGATTGAATACTTGGACGATTTACATGCGATCTGACTGTTTTACTGCAAGTGACCACATTGTTCCAACTACCATTATGTTAGGAGCCTTGTATTTGACATTAGATGGAACATAAATAGTCGGAGTTAAGAGCTGCTATCAAAACGCAGTAACGAAAGAATATTCAAAATCTATATATCATATGTATTCAGTCAAACTCCCACATGTCAGTCCAAACCTATTACATGTAAGTACAGTATGTGTTGGGTGTGGACGAGCAAACTGACCTGGACACTTGCTCACAGGAGGAAGGGGTTTGCAGACGTTGATGTAAAAGCGTCGTGATTTGGACACATCTGTATCTATGGCGATCCAGGGGCTGTCCTCTCCGTCACGCATCAGATGACTGAGGTCGTACTCATTACCGTGGGAATCTAGATCGACAGAAAAGAAAATGAACACACACGATAAGGAGGAGGGGTGTATAAAGGTAAGGCCAGTACTTTGTGTGCAGTGTGTGTGTGTGTGTGTGTGTGTGTGTGTGTGTGTGTGTGTGTGTGTGTGTGTGTGTGTGTGTGTAATTGAGTGTGAGAGTGTGTGTGTGTGTGTGTGTGTGTGTGTGTGTGTAAGTGAGTGTGAGAATGTGTGTGGGTGTGTGTAAGTGAGTGTGAGAGTGTGTGTGGGTGTGTGTAAGTGAGTGTGAGAGTGTGTGTGTGTGTGTGTAAGTGTGTGTAAGTGTGTGTGTGTGTGTGTAAGTGTGGTGTGGTGTGTGTGTGTGGTGTGTGTGTGGTGTGTGTGTGTGTGTGTGTGTGTAAGTGTGTGTGTGTGTGTGTGTGTGTGTGTGTGTGGTGTGTGTGTGTGTGTGTGTGTCCGTCCATACCAATGATCTGGCAGTCCACGGGAGCAGGGACGCAGGCCAGAGCGGTGGAGAATTCAAAGAAGACGTTGTGGATGACATGGTTTGGAACAGTGCCGAGGTCCTCGTGCATCAGCTTTAATGAGCCGGGGTGAGCGTTTTTATCACACACAAAGTTAATGGTGAAGGTGTCCCGGGAAGCTGTTGCAGAGAAGGAACGTTTAAATAAAAGATGGAATAAATTGCAAAGTAAAGACAGTGTTTACATCTTCCGTGTTTGTTATAACATGTGTACTGTAACAGATTCATTCAATTCAACAAATTACCTTGGTTGCTGATTGGCTAATGGTTACACAAGACAAAACATCGTTATGACATCATAAAGTGGCCAAAATCTGATCAGCTCATTTTCAGACAGGTTTTTATAGAAATGGATCAAAAAGAGAGAGAATCTTTGTTCCTGAAACTTCAGAGTCTCTTTCCACAGAGGGGACACATGTGATTAGAAGAGACATGAAGAAGTAGGGGACACATGTTGATGTAGAAGAGACATGAAGAAAGCGGGGACACATGTTGATGTAGAAGAGACATGAAGAAGAGGGGACACATGTTGATGTAGAAGAGACATGAAGAAGAGGGGACACTGTTGATAGTAAGAAGAGACATGAAGAAGAGGGGACACATGTTGAGTGTAGAAGAGACATGAAGAAGAGGGGACACATGTTGATGTAGAAGAGACATGAAGAAGAGGGGACACATGTTTGATTGTAGAAGAGACATGAAGAAGAGGGGGACACATGTTGATGTGTAGAAGTTAGAAGAGACATGAGAAGAGGGGACACATGTTGATGTAGAAGAGAGCATGAAGAAGAGGGGACACATGTTGATGTAGAAGAGACATGAAGAAGAGGGGACACATGTTGATGTAGAAGAGACATGAAGAAGAGGGGACACATGTTGATGTAGAAGAGACATGAAAGAAGAGGGGACACATGTTGATGTAGAAAGAAGACATGAAGAAGAGGGGACACATGTTGATGTAGAAGAGACATGAAGGAAGAGGGGACACATGTTGATGTAGAAGAGACATGAAGAAGAGGGGACAACATGTTGATGTAGAAGAGACATGAAGAAGAGGGGACACATGTTGATGGAGAAGAGACATGAAGAAGAGGGGGACACATGTTGATGTAGAAGAGACATGAAGAAGAGGGGACACATGTTGATGTAGAAGAGACATGAAGAAGAGGGGACACATGTTGATGTAGAAGAGACATGGAGAAGAGGGGACACATGTTGATGTAGAAGAGACATGAAGAAGAGGGGACACATGTTGATGTAGAAGAGAATGGAGAAGAGGGGGACACATGTTGATGTAGAAGAGACATGAAGAAGAGGGGACACATGTTGATGTAGAAGAGACTTGAAGGAGAGGGGACACATGTTGATGTAGAAGAGACATGGAGAAGAGGGGACACATGTTGATGTAGAAGAGACATGGAGAAGAGGGGACACATGTTGATGTAGAAGAGACATGGAGAAAGAGGGGACACATGTTGATGTAGAAGGAGACATGAAGAAGAGGGGGACACATGTTGATGTAGAAGAGACATGAAGAAGAGGGGACACATGTTGATGTAGAAGAGACGTGAAGAAGAGGGTACACATGTTGATGTAGAAGAGACGTGAAGAAGAGGGGACACATGTTGATGTAGAAGAGACGTGAAGAAGAGGGGACACATGTTGATGAAGAAGATACAGGAAGAAGAGGGGACACATGTTGATGTAGAAGAGACATGAAGAAGAGGGGACACATGTTGATGTAGAAGAGACATGAAGAAGAGGGGACACATGTTGATGTAGAAGAGACATGGAGAAGAGGGGACACATGTTGATGTAGAAGAGACGTGAAGAAGTGGATTTTACATAATAGGTGACCTTTAAGATAATTTCTCTAGCAAGCCAGAAATACAGTTTATAGAAATGAACCACAGCCTATCAGATAATCAGTTAGAGTAACCTCAATATGTAAACAAACGACGCTCTAAGTCTCTTTAGATAAATACCTGTGGGCTCGTCCAGGACTCCTTTATATGTGAGTTGCAGCAGGCCGTCGGTGGAGTACTGGAGAGTCTTCTCCACTCCCACCGGGCTCAGAGCGCGCCCGTCCTCCAGCTCACAGCCAGCGATGCCCTTTCCACACTCTGCCACGTCTGCGCAGATGTTCACCTGCAGGGAGGGAAGAACCAGAACCAGGTTTATTACCAGGTTGACACGTACGAGGAATTTGACTTGATGTCATGGTAGTAATAATACATTTCATTTATATAGCACACTTTAAAAACAACGTCATCTCAAGGTGCTTCACAATGCTATAGGGAGAAAATAATAAAACAAATAACATAAGATATCTAAGGAGCATATTTATGGATTTTGATCATTCAAAAAATACAATTTATTTGAAAGTTCAAGTTTTTATGCTGAACTTTGAAAAATACAATGATGTATTCAAAATAAAAATAACTATTTGAAATACTTTTTCAGGTTGAATATTATTTTTGATTCAGTTCAGCAATTTTTTGGAATAAAATATTTATTTTTCATATTTCACTTTTATACATATTTTGATATTTGAATCCTTATTTTTTTCAGTTGCAGATTTTATGTTTTCAGATTCAAAACCAATATCTTGTTTCGCTTTCAAACTTTTGGCCCTGATGTTGCTTGGGGGGCGGGGCTTACCAAAGAGTTGTTTGAGTTATATTTCTTGCGCTACCTAACATCCATGAAGGCAACATGACGGAGGGAGGCCTGTCACTCAGGATGCCAAACCACTCTTTGGTAAGCCCCGCCCCCCAAGAACTGAATCAAAAATAATATTCAACCTGAAATTATTTCAAATTTTTATTTTGAATACATCATTGTATTTTTCAAAGTTCAGAACAAAAACTTGAACTTTCAAATCAATTGTATTTTTTTTTTTAATGATCAAAACTTATGATATAGCTCCATACATAGAGTAAAATATGGTAATGTAAAAAAAAGGGTAAGAGCATAAAAGGTTAGAATAGGCGGGTCTTGAGGCATTTCTTAAGTGATGCATGTTCTCTGGAAGCTGATTCCACAGACATAAAAGTAAAACAAACATTTCAAAACACAGATAAAAACTATAAAAAGAAAATATAATAACATAAAAAGTATTAAACATAATATAGTAAAATATAGCTCTTACCAGGAAGTCCTTTCCATTTGCTCTTGTGGTGTATCCCTTCTCATTGGCCAGAAGCTGAAGGTTGAACTCATAGCCAGTGTTTGGGTCCACCACAGCACAACTCTGAAACACAAACACATGTTTACATGGCAACACAGTGCATTCTGAAACAGCTGTATAGTATACTGATATTAGATATTTTGTTCTTGTACATATCCCATATTCTATTGACATGTATTTAGACCTACTTTTTATGTTGTGTTTTTGTATTTTATTATATATGTTACATCGTTGGAGGAGCTCAGGTCAGAATAATTTGATTGTAATTTCTACTCTGTAGCTTTGTGCATATGACAATAAAACCTTTGAATTGAGACGTTTAGGATGATGAGATAACGTCGTGATGAAGCTGAGCTCACATTGTTCTCAGTGGTTTTGATGGCGCAGGCTGCTCTGGTGTCCCAGATGAAGTTGGCGGTGCAGTTCTGGTACATCAGGAACCGCGGGCCCATTGACTGCACAGCGTGGAAAACAAACAGTCAGACACGTGCACAAAACAATAAAAAACGGCTCCACTTTGATGTATAACCTCACCGAGCTTCCTCTGGAGCAGACCAGGTGGATGCGTGTCGTGTAGGAGAGCTTCTGGCCGTCTGACTCGCACACGGAGCCGTCAGTGAACTCCAGCAGCAGCCGGTCCCGAGCCTCGATGATCGGCCCTCGCTTGGAAACACCCATATTACTGACGGAGATGACTTCCTTTGGAGATCCCTGAGGAGAAAGAAAGGGAAATCACACTTTAGGTGTTTCGTAGAGATGACATGCCATCACATTTCTGCTTGTCTAATTCGGAAAGAACTGGCAACTTTTGAAGATGCACATAGCAAGATGTTCCTGTCACGAAAAGACCTTAGCTGATGAGCTCTTGAAAGTGGCAAATACATGTACATAAGTGTCTGTTCAGTCACTAGCTAATACCATTTAAGGGAACACAATGATTGAGCCTATAAATCTAAATCTAAATATTTGTATTTAACCCTAGTGAAATTCTTGAAATAGAAAGAAAATAGGTTAAATACTTTTGTGAACATAGGATGTTAAATAAGGTATGGGCAATAAAAGATGTAATTGAAATAAAGATATTTGTATAAACATAACAAGTTAAAGTGAAATAATAAAAGATCAATTAAATCAAATCTTAAGTTCGAAGTTAGTTAACACATATTCATTGTACTACAATATAGAACATGTAGATTACAATATATACAGAGCAGAGTTCCCGTTTTGCTCGTCAAACTGAAGTTTAAAGGGGACCTATCATGCAAAAGGCCCTTTTGTAAGTCTTTTATACATTAATATGTGTCCCCGGTGTGTCAGGGAACTCAACCCTCTCTTTTCCTCCATACCCAAATCTCTAAAAACGGGGCTGCAACGGCGCTGATACATACGTTAATTTTTCTGACGTGCCTATATGGGCAACTCTCCACCTATCAGGGGAATGAGAGGTTGGGACACGCCCACTGGCGCTCGAAAGCGCTGGAGACGCTGTAGTACATATGCCAGGCCTGTAAGTGGCGCTGTAGTCTGCCACAAAAGCAGAAAAGAAGACTTCCCGCGCATGGTTGCCCTTCTGTTTATTCTCCGCTGTGGCTCTTTTTCTCCCTTCCCTCCCTGCTGTAATTCATTGCATTCCCTCCCTCGCTGTAATTCTCTCCGGTAGTCCACCAGCAGATGACAAACACCCACCTCTCCGCCTCTTCCAAGGAACGAGGGGACCGTGCGACTGAGTTTCGCCGGCCAACATGTCCGTTAAAGTTTAAATCTTCTGGATAAAATGAGAAAAGTGCCGGTCAAAGGTCTTCTTTGTTATTTATTGAGCTTTAAAACAAATGAATAACAACTCAATATAAATCATATACGAATAAAACACGGAGGACGGAGATCTCTTTTCCTCCCCCTCTTCTGAGAGCCCAGCAGCTGATCAGAGCACGCTCCCCTCTCCTGCAGCGGGGGCGTGGTCAGCTGCAGCTCACAGAATCAGCCCTTGCAAAGACAGGGCTGGAAAGAGCAAATAGAGCGAAATGAGGCATGGCTAAAAAGCATGATCTGTTTGGTAGTTTGAAAACAAAACTTCACAGACATGTTTTATATAGGTATGGCCTTACAATATATTATTCAAATATAGCATGATAGGTCCAATTGAAATATTCCGGACAAAATGAGAAAAGTTCCGGTCAAAGGTCTTCTTTGTTATTTATTGAGCTTTAAAACTAATTTATATGATTCAATATTAAACATAATTATAGTAGATACATTATTCAAAAGTGTTCAGTAATTTATAATAACACGGGAATAATAAACGGAGCGCTCTCTCCTTCTCCTGACAGCCCGTCAGTATCATGCAGCTCGCGGATCCAGAGTGACCCGACAGTAAAACTAAACATATCTATAACTAGTTACGGTAGTTTGGGAGGTAATTAAAATAGCTACGTGTGATATTCTAACCTGAAGTGTGTTTTGTCCGCTCACCGCTGCAGGTGATTATGCAGAGCTGCGTGTCGACTCGTCAGCAGCAGCTGATCTCTCTCTCCCGTCAGATTAGACTTCACTCGCGTTTATGTCCATATCGATCAGATCCAGCTAGTTCTAGCTAATGATATGACTACCTGCTTATTAAAAGACACCTACACAATAAGTGTCGCTATGCAACCGGGTCAGGTCGCAAAGTATAGCACGGCATTATGCATTTGTTTACATGCCCACCGGAACCCCGAGGCATTACCAACAGATCAACGCACAATCAACCCACACAGGACATCTCTTTCTCCACATTAAGTGTTAGACATTAGAATTGACTATTCTTGTCTGTCACATTCTCTTTTGTCTGTCACATAAGTGGCGCAAGTTGCGCAACTGATGCGGTATTGTGCTAAGGGGAAATTATTTTGACCGGAGAGATTTAGATTTGCCGGTCTTCAGCATATTTTACCGGTCATAGTCCGGTAATTACCGGCTAACGGGAACTCTGATACAGAGGTACGTTTGTATTTCTGTTGGATGTATATAGGAACTGGGTGTCTTTGGTAAAAAGTCCTGGAGCTAATGCTGTTTTAAGTTTCTGCTGAGGCAAACCAAAATATGGTGTCACCACAGTCGTAATAACCGTTGGGGATTCCAACTTGAAGTTACCATTCTGTTTTCCACACTGTGTTCTAGCTGTTACAGACCTGGTCAGAGATGTACTTCATCTGACAGACGGACGCATGGCGGTCGCAGCCTGTGACAGGGTTGATCGGACGACAAATGTTGATGTAGTACTTCTTCAAGTTCATGGTGTCAGACAAGTCCATCGTCTGCCAGTTTTTCATGGAGGTGGAGCGGGACAAGCTGGAGGAAGAAGGAAGAAAACAATTCAGGAGTCACTCAACATTACTTGGTTGTTTGGTGAATGAATAAAACATGTAGCTGTGCATTACCTGGATAAGTCGTACTGCTCTAGAGTGACGGGATCTGTCACCAAACACTCATGAGGCCTCTCAGGACAAGCGTAGGATGTATACCAGCGGAAGTTATACGTGTACTTGTCCTCAACCTGCATTCAGAAGATTCAAATTAAAACTGAACGTCATACTGGTGATGTGCAAAGTTCTTTTTGAAGAAAGGCCAGAAGAAAAAACATAAAGAAACAGACATGTGTTGGGGAATCATTTGCCCTGCACGTCCTCCTTCGCCCTCTGACCAACCTTGAGCAGCCGTTATCTCCCTCAAGGAGGGGCTACCCTAGCAAGTTGTTGTTACCAGTTTGTGACCGGGCAACTGACGGTCAGAGATAGTTATTGTTGTGGGACACCTGGAACACATCCTTCTCGGGGTGTAGATGACCCCGAGACATAAGCGACAACAACTGTGATTCAGTGTCCTCAGCTGTTTAGTCTATCTATTGAAGAATGTTCATTATTCCACTCTGAACTGGTTCAAACCTGGAGCTACAGGAGGGTCTTCAGAATTGATTGTGGCATCTCAACCCGGTGGTCAACTCGTGGCCCGTGACATGTCTTGTGAATTCTCCGGCCGAAGCTCCAAATAAAGCGTCAGTGTTTTCCATCAAAGCTCCAGCTCTCCGCGTGTCTCTCTGAGTCCTGACTACCATTGCTTCAGAAGTTTCCCCCACAACGTGTATTGAACAAAAAGGGGAGAAAAAAGGGTGTATATAGACAAAATCCAGAGGCATATTATACCTGGAATTCTGGTTTTCCAGCTCCGGCTTCAGGGTCACACAGGAAGGAGATGAGAGTGGATCTGAGAGTGTGTTCTTTGTTGTTGTACTGGGAGCCGTTGCTGTAGGTGAGCTGGATCAGGCCGTCGTAGTAAGTCAGACGGGAGTTCGCTTCCCCGAGACTCCAAGAACTGAAGCAACAGATGGGAAAATAACAAGATGAGAAAAGAGATTAACTTGATTGAGTCCATACCCAGAAAATGTACACAAGCTTAAGAGTCAAGCAAGCAGAGGAAATAAGTGGAAATGTAATCATAAGAAATGACTCTGAAAAGCTGCAGATAGAGCCATAAGAAATGACTCTGAAAAGCTGCAGATAGAGCCATAAGAAATGACTCTGAAAAGCTGCAGATAGAGCCATAAGAAATGACTGCAACTGATTATTTAATGTTGTTTTTATAGGCAATCATTTAAGCTTTGTTAGTTCCAGGTTGAATATGTGCAATAAGTTCATTTCAATAAGTGTTGCAATAAACATTGAACCAGTCCGGCCCTCGACTAGTACCCATTTTTTTTATTTTGGCCCACTGTGTGTTTGAGTTTGACCCCCCTGAACTAGCAGGTAGTAGGGCTGCACGATATTGAAAAAAAATGACATTGCGATATATTTTTTTCCTCTGCGATATATATTGCGTTTTTTTTAACTATATTTAACCGGATGAAGGATTTTAGTCACGGCCGTCTGGATCTTAACTGGTAGACTCATCATACCTTAAGTCATGATCTAACATGTCATGATAATGCAGGTTGCTTACCCTCAAATAAGGGGGCTCATCTGTGAAGAAGAGAAGAACCTTTTTGGATCCAAAATAGTTCCAGATTCCAGATGTTGCTTTTCTTTTTGGAAGTAAATCTTCATTCTCGCCGGTATTGTCCTCCTGTGCCTCGCTCATTTTTTACCGGTGTTTTGATGGTCTGCAAACTAGCGGGGCGGGGCCTGCTGTGATCTGATCAAGAATGATTGTGATTGGGGGTTTGCTGTGCACGCAGAGCCTGCATGTCACTCACTCAAGTACCCCTGACATGAGAGCCGTGCAAGTTTTCCTTTTGTAGCAAGCAGCAAAATAATTGTAACATGACGTGTTTGAGTTCATTACCTACTTAATATCGCACACAAAAAAAAAATTATTATTATAAAAAATGAATAAAATCGCACGTCCCTGCGATGTAAATATCGCGCATGAGCATATCGCGGTTATCGCCATGACACGATATATCGTTCAGCCCTAGCAGGTAGTATTTCAAACTATTAAGAAAGAAAACCCACTTTAGATTTTTGATTTAGTTTTTTAGCTATTCATCTATCTCTGTTGCATAAGCACGCCTTTTACATTGAGACACTATGGACGCGCTCGTGAACGGGGGGGCGCCTGTCAGCGCAACCTATATGATAAAGGGCGGTGCCGGCCGTCAGCGAGCCGAGCCGGCCTTTCTGCACGACTGTCACTCAAATGCGAGACATGGTCTCAATTTGTGGGACGCGGGACACATGATAAAAACGCTGTGTGTGCAGTCCCACACAAAGCGGGACACCTGGTCACACACATCCACACGGTTCACACACACACACACACACACACACACACACACACACACACACACACACACACACACACACACACACACACACACACACACACACACACACACACACACACACACACACACACACACACACACACACACACACACACACACACACACACACACACACACACACACACACACACACACACACACACACACACACACACACACACACACACACACACACACACACACACACACACACACACACACACACACACACACACACACACACACACACACACACACACACACACACACCACACACACACACACACACACACACACACACACACACACACACACACACACACACACACACACACACACACACACACACACACACACACACACACTTCAAATCAAGTTGCATAAATACTTGAGCTACGTTTTTATTATAATTACTGTGAAATGTATTATGTTTTCGTCAGTATTACAACAAATACACACTTGCAACTGATAACACTGGCAATGATTTTATATTTATTAGACTATTCAAAAAAGATCATGCTTCAAAAAAGTGGGGGCTCCAAATAAGTGGGGGGACGGGATCCCCCGCGTGCAACGACCACTGGTCATAACTCCATGTCTTTGGCTTGTTCTCACCTCTTTTCAGACTGGCACGCCCCAGCCTTCTCCGGACAGCTGGCAGCTTTGACAGGACCGCACACGTTGATGTAGTAATCGTAGTGGTTGCTGCTCAGGTTGTAGAAACCACCGTCGGCTTTGGAGAGAGGAGACAAGTCGAAGGAAAACCCTGCGGAGCAACGAAGGACAGATAGAGAGGAAGATTGAAACAACTTGCATCAGAGAAAACTCAGATAATGGCTCTGTCAACAGTGGAGGAGTGGAAACACAAAGAAACCACTAGATGGCAGCACAGGTACGCCCTTTATGATTCACATATGATGATTCAGTGTCATGTGACATAAAGACGTGACTCAGAGAGGTTAAAATGCCTGGAAGTCCCCACCTGGTGGAGTTGAGGAAGTAGGACAAGCAGAGAAACTTCATCATGTTTTTTCAAAATAAGTATCATATGAGCAAGCAGAACAGATTCCTCTTATCCACCACATACCCGAGTAAATGTTATATAAACTGTCAAAACTACTTTGAAAATGCTTTGTCCTGTTGGTTTCCAAAAAGGGTTAGATAAACCTGTAATAACACGTTATAATTCAATATTTACTTTAATATCTTATGTACTTTCTGTTTCTCATACTTTAAATGATTTTATTTTGTATATCTTAAAATAATTGTTGCCATTATTAGGATATTCCTTTCTTTTTTCTCTACAATATACATTATTGTATTGCTTTGGATCTTTATGCAGACCCGGCGCAAGAACAAATCTACGGAGAGGGCATACGGTTTTCATGGGAGGGCACACACAACCGTCACGTGCCGCGGCCAGTGTCGACACATGAGGGTTTTCTGTTGGGGTAGCTTGACGTTTCATAGAGGCAGCTCAAACATTTAGGGTTTCCCATTAATGTCCCGGGCGCTACAGTGGAATGTTCTACTGCAGTGCTTCTCAAAGTGTGGTCCACGAGCGCCCCCTAGTGGTCTGTGAGTATATTGGTAACATTTCACATTTTAAATAAATAAATACATTTAAGTTTTCCGCACTCTCGCGGGAATATCTCCGCAATGGAGCGAGCTTAAGTTTCGATTGCATGATATAGCCCAGCGTCACACATGTTGCCACGTGTTTGTACCATTTTCTGGCGATTTGTAATCTGTTCTAGAAAAACGATGTGTTTTTGGATATTTGTGTTTTTTTATTGGTTGGTGGTCCTTGGTATGAAAAAGTTGAAAAACACTGTTCTACTGCAACACTCCCCACACGCACATACACCCGCGACTGTTACAATGCAGGCTCGATAATCAGCTCATGGCATATAGCTGTAAGCAGGGGTAAAGTGTTATTTTTTTTAAGTGTGGGGGGGGGGGACCTAACCTCCTCTAGGGGGGTCCGGGGGCATGTTCCTCCGGGAAGATTTTTTTTTGTATTATTGAAGTCAAACGCATCAATCCCCATTAACTTTAACCCGGTTGCCTCTTTCTTGTCTTTCCCTCACTGCTGTGTTTTTCTAGCTCAAACACTGATGAGTCAGACACCAGGAGGATTAAAGGTGTGTGTCGTACCGGCCTGAGGGTCCTCCACCCTGCAGTCGTCTCCCTGAGCCTTGGAGAGGACGCAGGCGGCGGCGGTGTACCACTCCATCTCATACACACATCCATCAGAGGAAACGCTGCGGAGGACAGGAGCGCTCTCCAAATCTCCTGCACAGAGGAACAGGTTTGAGAAGAGAAACCAAATAGATAGAGAATCACAGAATACATTATAAAGGTGGTAATGACTTTGTACCTGGTTTGCACTTGAGTGTCAGGATGGTTTGGATCCTCGTCTTTTTATCGCTGCAAACGCTTCCTTCAGTGTAAACCAGTCTGATGTCATTTCCTACTTTAGTCTTCTGGGGAGAGGAGAGGAAGCTGCCCAGGCTGATGGCCCCTAGTTTCTTATCTGAAGCACAGGGAGACAATACAAATATGTCAATAAATGGCATCTATCGTAAAGGTATGTCGCAGACAACGTTATACAAGGAACTGACTGATCAGGGGTCGGCAACCTTTTTGATATGAAGTGCCATTTAAAAAAAATTGTTATTAGCGTGCCAACGATCGAGAATTATCAACGGGGGGGGGGGGGGGTTGAGGAGCAGCAGGAGGGCGGGGGGAGCCTCGCTGCGGGGAAGCAGTGTGTGGACCTGTCTGCGCAACTTACATGATGCCGAATTTAACAAACACATTTAAATAATTGCTTTAAAGGGCATAATAATAATGACGATCGTCCGTTCTGTGATTTTCCAGAACACACATGTATGTTATGATATTAGGGTCATGCAGAGTGAGATGAGATCGCTGTCACTTTAAGAGAGAGAGAGAGGGGTGTGGCTTGTGCATGTGTTTGTGGATGGTAGAGCGACAGTGAGCTAGCGTGTGTATGTTTCTGGAAGTGAAACGAGGAAGCAGAAAAACAGAGGTCTGTGATGTATTTTGTGAAACAGAAGAACTAAATAAATGCAACGGCCTCCTAAGAAGAGCTCGCTTCTCTCCAGTCATTTAAGCTAAAGTGGGTTATTGAACCTGAAGCTTGTTGCTTCTGCCCTCCTCGACTACGGTCTGGGAGCCGACAGGAAAGTGCAACACACATATGGCCAGTCCGCCCCTTTGTAGCATATTATTTCGATGAGCAGATCGCCACTGGGCTTTCAACTAAAGACACAGCCACGCAAAAACTGCGGCATGTGTACAGCTCGTTATCGGTACTGCAATTTGTGAAGTGCTTTCCTCCGTGGTGAAAGGATCTGCACCACGGAGGAAAGCGGCAGAAAGTCGCCTGGAGTTAAAGAGAGCGGGGCTGCATTGCGTGCATGGCTTCCTTCTGCAGGTAACGGGGAGACGCGCTCTGGCGGCGGTCTCGTTCAGGATCCGAAAATACAATTTAAATATTTTTGCACACTTATTCCTAGTGTGCCACTGGTTACGGTGCCGCGTGCCAGCATTGGCTGCCATTGGTTGCCTAGATATTCGATGCTGCAGACACATTTAGATGAGTTTGCATCAGTTAGTGTTTAAAACCCAGCTCTATTCTATAAAAGGATGATATGTCTTGCAAAAGTTACCAGGGGGATGTATACAGAAAGCTTCTATATATACACAAAATAAATAAATAGAGAAAGGAAATCTTGAGAAAGAGGAACAAGTGGAATTTTTTGTTTCATTACAGCAGTTTTTAGGTCAGATTTAATTCGATCTGTTTTTTGTTCCACTTAATAATTGTTTTGTCTCATTTCTTCATTCATCTATTTCAAGTCTCATTCCAACAGTTTTTAGTCTCATTTCAATCGTTTTTAGTCCCATTTCTTTAGACTTTAGAAACTCCCCCATCCTCGTGTAGATCCTTACCCACGGCACAGATGGAGGCGTCCACCGGGCAGTCGACAGCATCTCCTGTCAAGAGGACTTTGTGACAAACGTTCAGGAAGAAACGAGAGTCTGGCTTTGGAGATTTATCATCCACCGCTTCCCAGTTCCCTCCGGCATCTGACCCTGGATCAGCACACAGAGGAACAGACACAATATTGAGTGAATATGGCCACACCAAAACGCTTTTTAAGAGGCCAATATTGACATTTGAACTCACCGGGGTTTCTTGTGAGGGCTGAGAGGTCGTAGTGTTTGGTGTCGTCTCTGACTTGACAAAGTAGATCCTCTTTCTCCTTGATGCAGGCGAAAGCCGTATCCCAGTCAAAGTAGTAAGTGCAGTCCGTCTCGCCCGCAAAAACTGGAACCCCTCGACCACCGCTCGCTGCAAAAACAACAAGTTTCTGCATCATGTATGGTACAAGTTGTGTGTACATCTCTTAGTAGCATCAAGACTTGCAATCTTCCACTGTGTAATTACTGATATGACCACCAGATGATGCCAAGGTGCAAAAAATAGTTGCGTCAAAAGCAGGGGAGACTTCAAAGAATGCTATGAGAATATGTTCTGTGTTCTGTCTTACATGCGTTCTTGTTGCACTCAAAGTTGATGATGGTCATTCTCTGGAAGCCGGTGGAGCATCTGGTGCCGTCCGGGTAGATCAGAGTCAGATCTCCGTCTGAATAACTGCAGAGGAAAAGAGATTCGGAGAGAGAAATACTTAATAAATGTACAATACTATCAATGTTTGCCATTTCATCAATAAGGCAACAGTTTAACATGAAGTGTTGAATGAGGATTTCCCCTTTTTTCTTGGTTAACATATTGGAAAAAGGAAACTTTGTACATACAATTGTTGGAATAACGATACTCAAAAATAGAATTAGTACTGTAATCGGAAGTTTGTATAATGCCATTTTTTATAGCAAGTATGAGCAACACTGATACAGAAACATAGACACACTCCAGCTATGATTCAATTACAACAAAAACATGTTTTGAATTGTGGCAAACATTTGACAGTTGATATAGTATCATTATAAATATTATATTGATAAAACAACCCTGAGATACAAGCTCAATGTTAGCAGAGCAGGAAGGTGCGTTTTCCTACATTAATAAAATCTCAACTGTAATATAAAAACAAAACCATAAAAATCAAACATTACCGTAGCGTCTGGTTCTTATATTGTCCAGCCACCTTCTTCACGTCCCCGGTCTTCTTCACCTGGCAGGACGAGATGTACGGGTCTTCGCCACATTCGTCGCTGGGGACCTTTCCACAAACGTTCAGGTAGTAAACGTAGCTGTCGTCCCCAGAATGTGCGTAGTACGGATGGTCTGTAGCTGTACACACACACACACACACACACACACACACACACACACACACACACACACACACACACACACCACACACACACACACACACACACACACACACACTACACACACACACACACACACCACACACACACACACACACACACACACACACACACACACACACACACACACACACCACACACACCACACACACACACACACACACACACACACACACACACACACACACACACACCACACACACACACACACACACACACCACACACACACACACACACACACACACACACACACACACAACACACACACACACACACACACACACACACACACACACACACACACACACACACACACACACACACACACACACACACACACACACACACACACACACACACACACACACACACACACACACACACACACACACACACACACGTTTAGGAGGACATATTTACTTATTTGTATCATCCATTATTATACTATAAGTCTCCATGGATCATTTTTTATTAAATATATATCAATACTACTGTGGACTTCTTTAATTATAAATGATTTTATTTTTAATCTATTTAGATATGTTATACATTTAAAAAAAACAAGATATCGTAAGACTGAAAATCCAAAAGTAGAGTTTTGTTAACGTGAAAACATATGAATTTAAATGAATTTAAAATAACATATAAAATTCATAGATGATAAAAATGGAATCTTAATAATGGAGATAATTGTAAAAAATGAACAAACACACAGTAAGTAAATACAAGGAAGACATGGGTATTTTGGCCATTTTAAAAATGGTAGCATTACAGTTGTATTTTAGTCATTAGATGTAACATTTCTAGTAAGCATGATTAAACAAAAAGAAGTATTTATCAATGTTTTTATGTAACTCAATAACAAGTTTTCTCAAAATGTGGACCTGTTCCTATGACAACAAATAAGTAGTTCTTGACTTCAATCTTGTATTAACACCAGGATATAAAGTAGTTCTAGTCAGAACTGTGGCCGACATCTTGTCACACGCAGACTGCATAAAGTGGAGAAATGCTTTTTATATAACCAACAATGACTTTACTAAAAACAGGAAGGTCAGAATGGTTTACTCATACACTTACTTCCTCTAACTAAAAACAGCAGCACTATGAGACAACTATTCATGTGTGTAGTTCAAGTACAAACATGTGGCTAGCTGGGGTTTTGAGTGTTACTTTCATACCTACTAAAAGAACAACACCTTATTTTGTGCGTGTTTGTTCAGTAGCTTGTAAGAACCGTTTTGAGGAATGAGGAAAACGAATGAAAACTAACAGCACAAACTTTGACATTTATAGCCTTTGCAGACCTTTTACATGCACACAAACCTATACAACAAACAAACAGGTAAGGGAAACCCCCCTAAAAAACATAATAGGGCCCCTTTTAGCAGCTAAGTGATACTTCAGACTCAAAGAAACTAGAGAAATGTTTAATTTATGGGCCTGACAAATTCTTCTCAGTCTGAGGTTCGATGTACTTACAGCTCAGGGTGAGCGGTGTCAGGTCGATGGAGATGTCGTGCTGGTCGTTGGTCATTTTGCAGTTATTGCTCTCCAGATAGTCTCTGTGACAGGCGTACTCCGTCACCCACTCCACCTCGTAACGACAGTTCGACTCCGCTATCATCTTAGGAGGACTGCCCTGTGGAGCCAAAGGATTTGTTTCAGTAATGCATGAGTTACTTTAGAAATAAGTATATATTAGGGATGCACGATAATTATCGGCCTGATAATTATCGGTCCGATATTAGGAATTATGACGTCATCCCGATACCAGTATTAATAGCCCCGATAATATACAATATATTTTTTGGGTAAAAAACAAATACTGCGCTGTGGGTGGATTGGGATGAGGGCGCTTGTTTTTCACTCGGCTCCTCCCGTTTTGCCAGTACTGTGGTATTAGTGGTTTAGGAAGAGGGGAGTTCTTCACAAATCCAGCACTCCCTAACTCGTGAAGCCAGGACAGTAAACAAACATGTCGTCGGTGGTATGGGCGTTGGAGCTATGTGCAACTCAAGGCATATGCTCGAACCGGAGCTGCCTGGACGCTGCAATCATGTTGCGCACTATTCTTCCACACACAGTGACGTCACGAGCTACCCACAATGCAACGCGCGCCATATATATATATATATATAAAAATGCGCCATTTTCCTGGAGGTGCTAATATCCTGGAGGTGCTAATATAAACAGCTAGCTAAAGTAGCCAGGCAGAGCGCACTAGGTTTTTTTTCTGAATTAACGACCGAAGAAATCGCTGCATGTCTTCGGATTACATCTCTGGACTTGAGGGGTGTGCTCTAGGTCGTTACCAGCGTAAACTAGAGCTGTGTGGGTTGTCCGATTGCCCTTACAGACTGCCTGCAGATGTATGGAAAAACGACTCTCGAAAGTGGCCTTCGGTCGATTTTGGCAGCATCTACGTCTATCTTCTAGAAACACCAGGTGAATACCCCACTTGTCACAATAATATTATCATGCCAATGCATATATGTGGTATTTTAGAGTTGACTAGATATTGATTAAGGCAATAGACTATGATATTCTGGTTGCACCTCGCGTGAAATGGCGGATACCGGAAGTACGGTGTCGCCCTCGGCCCAAAACCCGTATGTGTGTGTGAAAGAATCCGTGCTGAGTGTGCTGACTTTTCGTACAATGTCCCACTGTCTGGCTTCCTGCATAAAGTCAAGTGCTCGGCGCATATTTTTCATTTCATTTAAACAGCTCCTTATATCCGTTAGCACAGCTAGCTAGCACCAGATGCTAACAACAACAATGCACGTAAGGTCTCTCGCTCGCTCGGGCCACACATACACACACCCTCCCGGTCCTCCCAACAGCCAGTCGGTGCCTGCCGGTGAGCGTGGAAGTGTGGTCTGCCACAAGCGGGCGGCAGGAGCGGGGCTGTCAGCATCAGCTTGTAGATGGTATTTTAAACTCGATGCGCTCTGAAACTACGGGGCGGCCGAGGAAAAAAAATACACATGCGTTAATCGCGTTAAAATAATTAGTGGCGTAATTTTTTTGTCTGGTCTTGAGAAGCAGGAAGTTATCGGTATCGGTTTCAAACAATATCGTGCATCCATATATATGAGTGTGTGTGTGTGTGTGTGTGTGTGTGTGTGTGTGTGTGTGTGTGTGTGTGTGTGTGTGTAACATACCGAGTGTCTGCTTGACGGACAGATGAAGGTGATGGTGACGGCTGGAGTGTGTTCCTTACAGATGTCTGGAGGAGTTGAACTGGTGGCGTTATACGTTAACCTCAGTCTGGAGACAAGAAAGTGAAGACTAAATATCTTTTCAAAGCTTTTTTAAATGTTTTACACTTTAAAAGGTCCCCTATTATACTGTTTTTCATCAATATATTATAGCTCTCAGATATATCCAGAACATGTCTCCGATTGGCTGAAACACCAAACAGATCATTGCAGCATTACCCATAATCCCCTCTGTTTCAGTCCTGTTTCCAAAGTGCTGATTCTCTGTCTGTTACTTTAGATGAAAATAAGGAGCCCCTCCCCACGCCCCTCTGAGAGACATTTGGTTACAAAGAACTCAATGGTGCTCTAGGAGGAGATTCAGGTGATAAGGTGTGTGGGGGGGGTTACCTTGGTTGCTGATTGGCTAATGGTTACACAAGACAACACATCATTATGACATCATAAAGTGGCCAAAATCTGATCAGCTCATTTTCAGACAGGTTTTTATAGAAATGGATCAAAAAGAGAGAGAATCTTTGTTCCTGAAACTTTCAGAGTCTCTTTCCACAGAGGGGACACATGTTGATGTAGAAGAGACATGAAGAAGAGGGGACACATGTTGATGTAGAAGAGACATGAAGAAGAGGGGACACATGTTGATGTAGAAGAGACATGAAGAAGAGGGGACACATGTTGATGTAGAAGAGACATGAAGAAGAGGGGACACATGATGATGTAGAAGAGACATGAAGAAGAGGGGACACATGTTGATGCAGAAGAGACATGAAGAAGAGGGGACACATGTTGATGTAGAAGAGACATGAAGAAGAGGGGACACATGTTGATGTAGAAGAGACATGAAGAAGAGGGGACACATGTTGATGTAGAAGAGACATGAAGAAGAGGGGACACATGTTGATGAAGAAGAGACATGAAGAAGAGGGGACACATGTTGATGTAGAAGAGACATGAAGAAGAGGGGACACATGTTGATGTAGAAGAGACATGAAGAAGAGGGGACACATGTTGATGTAGAAGAGACATGGAGAAGAGGGGACACATGTTGATGTAGAAGAGACATGAAGAAGAGGGGACACATGTTGATGTAGAAGAGACATGAAGAAGAGGGGACACATGTTGATGGAGAAGAGACATGGAGAAGTGGATTTTGCATGATAGGTGACCTTGAAGAGTTTATCCTACTGTGTAATAATGAGACACGTATGATGTAGAAGCTCAACAAGGACTTTGTTTTCTATTCATTTCTTCAAATATGATTGTATTTATAGATACCTCTCATTTGACAGCAGCTCCAGCTGTGCGGTAGGAGAGCCCATGTCGTAGGATCCGTGGCTGGTGACCAGACAGGCGGCAGAGCCCTCTGCACACGAGTCATCCGGTCGGTCTGAGGGAGGAAGAGGGAGGATATGAGATGATAGGAAAGACAACGAGGTTTGATTATAATAGGAAATCAAATTGGAACATACACATAATGTATGGCAACGTCACAGTAAAATATGATCAAGGGTTAAGGTGACATTTCAAGGTATATATGGCAACAATATTAAGGGGGTATACACATCTCCAAACAAAGACTTGTTTCACTTCTCTAGGTCTGTGGTGTCTTATTTTTGCAACCAAATTCATTTATATCATTCAAGATCTTCTCAGAACAAAAAAAACACACAACCCTAAAATATTACTAAATACCTAATCAAATTCAGTATTTCATTTTCCAAGTCATTTATCTCCCCCTCCCCCCACCTCCCCGAGGTACTGACTGAGGCTCCGGCAGATGTTGATGTAGAAGTCGATGGTGTCGTCACCGTCGTCCACCAGATATCCATCGTTCACTTTGATCAGAGGGTTCAGGTCGTGCTTCTTGCCGTCAGAGTCGAACACGTAGCAAGGCACCTGCACACAAAGGAGGTAGTGTCATATTACAGTACTGACATCTTCCATCATCACCTGAAGAAGAACAATTCATAGACGAACATAAAGTGTGAATATTGACATTAAAGCTCCCATGTCATGGCCATTTCTACTGATCATAATTCCATTGTTGAGGTCTACTAGAATAGATTTACATTGTTCAATTTTCCAAACTCACATTGGATTCTCATACAGCAGGGCTATTCAATTAGTTTGGAATGGGGCCGGTTGATAAATGATCCAAAGCAAGGGGCCGGGAAAAAGATGGCTTGAAATATGAGCAATCATATTAAGAGCTTCAGATACAGTAAATACTACAACAGCATAGTGGAGTGCATATATTGTGTTTAATTAAATCAAATAACATAGCCCCAAGGCCTTTATAGATCTAAATGGCAAGTTCAGAACTCAGTAGGCCTACATGTGAAGCTAATTTAACCATCAACATCATTTCATTATATTTAATTTAGGTGAAATTATCTAATCATTCACGCAGAGATGCAATAAATGACAGGAGTTGTCACTACAGTAGCTTGTAGGTGGGTTCGAAACCTGAGCCCGCAGAAGTTTTCAGGCCCTCTATCTCTCAATTTAACACCCTCTCTGGAATAAAAGGCACTAAAGAATTATTATTATTTTTTTAAAAGTAGATTACTTTTACTTTTTAACATTATAATCAAAGGGCCAGTAAATATCACCCCGGGGCCGGATTTGGCCCGCGGGCCGCCAATTGAATAGCCCTGTCATACAGCATCTCTGTATAGTATGTGTATTCACTCTCTGTCCTACACGCCTTGTTGGAGCTCCTGAAAAGGACACCAGTAATGACAAACAGATGAGAATGCTGCGAGGGGTCTAGGTGCCGTGTTGGCGGGACGTTGTGAGGAGGGGACAGTGTGAGCTGGGTTCATTTCCTGCTTGCTGCGTGGGGTCTGCGAGACAGCGAGACATCGCGAATGGACACGGGAAGGGGGGGGGGGGGGTGTTGAGGGGGCTGCAGCACCCCCATCTGCGAGGCTACACTAGCACCCGCATGACATGGGACCTTTAAAGACACTCTAGTCCAGGGGTAGCCAACGCGGTGCCCGCGGGCACTAAGTCGCCCGCAGGGGGGAAATTGGTCGCCCGCGTACATGTTCCATGTCATCATGGAGCTCCGTCTAAAACATTTATTGAATACATTTTTATTTTAAAATGACAATATTGAATATAACATTAAATTTAAAAGCACACATTTGTATATTTAAGTGAAATGGAGATTTGGTGCGTGAAATTGAACTCTGACCCCAGATAGGTTCAGAGTTGAACTCCACGCACCAAATCTCCGTTCCACCTTTAGCTGAGACAAGCTAGCGTGAGCAGCTACGATGGTGCGCTAGCTGCGGCTTTTACCCTAAACATGGCAGAGAAGCGAAAGAAAAAGTACTGTTTTCAAGACGTTTGGGAGGAAGAATTATTTTTTACTACAGTGAAAGAAAAGTGTGTATGTCTCATTTGCGGTGCGACTGTGGCGATCGCAAAGCGGCACAATGTGGAGAGACACTTTGATACGTGTCACAAAAGCTACAATGCTAACTACCCACCTGGCAGCGCACTACGGGCAGAAAAAGCCCGTGAGTTAAAGGCAGCTTTGGGGAAGCAGCAGTCTTTTTTCACGAGGCCGGTGAAAAAGACACAAAAAGCAACGGAAGCCTCATTTAGAGCTGCTCATTTTTTGGTAAAGAACAAGAAAGCCTTTTCGGACGGAGAGGTCTTGAAAGGTGCAATGATGGTTATTGCAAACACTGGGAACGAGAAGAATGGTTCCGATGTCATCTCCACTCTCTCCGATGTCCAGCTGGGGGCAAGTACGATCGTTAGAAGAGTGTCGGCTATGTGCGGGAACTTGACAGAGCAGCTGGACCGGGATCTGGCTACGTGCCGGTGGTTTAGCGTCCAGTGCGACGAGTCCGTGGACAGAAGCAGTTCAACACAGCTGATGATGTTTATCCGAATGGTGTTTGATGATTTCTCCACAAAAGAAGAACTCTTGACACTACTGCCCCTGAAGACAACAACGAGGGGAGTTGACGTTTACACCGCGGTCAAGAGCTTCTTTGTGGAGAAGAAGGTACCATTAGAAAAGCTGGTGTCGGTGACTACAGACGGGGCTCCCGCAATGACGGGCCGACATGCAGGCTTCATTGCGCAATGCAAAGGTGACTCAGACTTCCCAACATTTCTACATTACCACTGCATCATTCACCAGCAGGCATTATGTGCAAAAGTGACCGGCTTTAATCATGTGATGACCCCTGTCGTGAAAATCATAAACAGCATCCGCTCCAAAGCCAAACAACACGTTCAAAGTGCTGTCAGCTGAATATGGTGACCTGTTATTGCACACAGACATCCGATGGCTCAGCAGGGGAAGAGTATTGCAGCGATTTTTGTCACTTTTGGGTGAAATCAAAGTAATCTTGCAATCCAAAGGGGAAGACGCCTCACTGCTTGAGGACACTGAGTGGATACTTGACCTTGCATTTTTAACAGACATCACTGGGAAACTGAAACTTTTGAACTGTGAACTGCAAGGCAAAGGCAAGACTGTTACATGATAAGTGCTGTAAATGCATTTAAAGCTATGATGAGCATATTCTCTGTGCATTTACAGGGAAAGAAAGTGTTGCACTTTCCCTCTGTGCAGTCAGTGCTGCATGACAATGCTTCTGCATCTGGGGCTTTCGACAAAGCTGCAGAAAAGTACTCTCAAGTCATAAACAGACTTGGTCAAGAGTTTGAAAACAGGTTTTGTGACTTTGGTCAACTTGAGCCATGTGTGTCATTCATTTCAAATCCATTCATGCAAGTGGACCTGACATGCATTGCTGAGCAACTAAGTGCAACCTTCAACTTGGATGCTGGACAGGTGGAGATTGAAATCCTAACGTTGCAAAATGACCTCCACCTCAACGCCCATCAGGATGAAGCAAACTTTTGGTGCCTTGTGGACACAGAAAAGTACAAAGGTGTCGATCTCTCAGGCAAAAAGCACTTTCTTTCAAGATAAGATCCAATCTTCCTATTCCAATCCTAAAAAACTATTTTCCATCTTCTCCACCCTCTTGGACCCTCCAAAAGCTCCTCCCCCCTCCTCACTTCTGTCAAGCGACTTTGTTACCCACTTTGAAAAAAAGGTTAATGATATTCGCTCTTCTTTTTCTGACTCACCTTTACTCACCGCTGGGTCACCAGACCTTCCTTCCACCAACACACTAACCTCCTTTTCCCCTCTCTCTCCAAGTGAGGTTCTTACCCTCATTACCTCTGCCCGTCCTACCACCTGTCCTCTGGACCCTATCCCTTCAAACCTCCTTCAGACTATCGCTCCTGATATTCTACCGTTTCTCACCCATTTCATCAACACTTCTCTAACTTCTGGTCACTTTCCAAACAGTCTCAAGGAGGCAAGAGTAAACCCTCTCCTAAAGAAACCCACTCTCAACCCGTCTGATGTTATAAACTACAGGCCTGTCTCTCTCCTCCCGTTCCTGTCTAAATCACTTGAACGCGCTGTCTTTAAACAACTCTCCTGTTATCTCAATCAGAACAACCTTCTGGATCCGCACCAGTCTGGTTTCAAGGCAGGTCACTCCACAGAAACTGCTCTCATTGCTGTCACGGAGGAACTGCACACTGCCAAAACTGCATCCCTCTCCTCTGTCATCATCCTTTTGGACCTGTCTGCTGCATTCGACACGGTGAATCATCAGATCCTCCTTCGCACTCTCCAAAAACTTGGAGTTTCAGGCTCTGCACTTTCCCTCCTCACCTCATACCTGAAAGACCGTACCTACAGGGTGACTTGGAGAGGGTCTGAGTCCGACCCTTGTCAATTAACTACGGGGGTCCCTCAGGGCTCTGTTCTTGGTCCCCTCCTCTTCTCCTTGTACACAAACTCGCTCGGATCAGTCATTAGCCTGCATGGTTTTTCTTACCACTGCTACGCTGACGACACCCAATTAATTCTGTCCTTTCCCCGCTCAGAGACCCAGGTCGTTGCACGCATCTCTGCTTGTCTAGCTGACATCTCTCAGTGGATGTCTGCTCACCACCTCAAGCTCAACCTTGACAAGACTGAGCTGCTCTTCCTCCCGGGAAAAGATTGTCCAACTCTTGACCTGACAATCAACATCGGCACCTCAGTTGTTTCCCCGACTCAGACTGCAAGGAATCTGGGTGTGACCCTAGATAGCAACCTGTCCTTCACTGCAAACATCGCTGCTACAACCCGCTGCTGCAGATACACGCTTTACAACATCAGGAAGATACGTCCCCAGCTGACTCAGAAAGCGACTCAGGTTCTGGTCCAGGCTCTCGTCATCTCACGCCTAGACTACTGCAACTCCCTCCTGGCTGGTCTACCTGCATGTGCCATCCGACCTCTGCAGCTCATCCAGAATGCAGCGGCTCGTCTGGTTTTCAACCTTCCTAAATTCTCCCACACCACTCCGCTCCTCCGCTCCCTTCACTGGCTTCCGGTAACTGCTAGAATCCACTTCAAGACACTGGTACTTGCTTACCGTGCTGCGAATGGATCTGGCCCTTCCTACATCCAGGACATGGTTAAACCGTACACCCCAGCGCGTGCACTACGCTCTGCATCAGCCAAACGACTCGTTGCGCCCTCGCTGCGAGGGGGACCCAAGTTCCCATCAGCAAAAACACGTGGGTTTGCTATCCTGGCTCCAAGATGGTGGAATGAGCTCCCCATTGACATCAGGACAGCAGATAGCTTGCACATCTTCCGGCGCAAACTGAAAACTCATCTCTTTCGACTCCACTTCGAGCGTTAGAACGATTAACGAAGCACTTTTATACTAATAAAGGACTGGATTACCTAAAGCCAGTTGAGTAGCACTTGAAATGTTTGGCTCTATGAAACCTGATATACTTATATGATTCTGTTTTCTTCAAGGTTGTGTCTTCCTGGTCGAATGTACTTATTGTAAGTCGCTTTGGACAAAGGCGTCAGCTAAATGCAATGTAATGTAATGTAATGTGTATGCACAGCAGCTATGAAAGATGCCTGCCTTTTTGGTTCAACCTATCTTTGTGAGTCAGCCTTTTCAGACATGAACTTCATCAAGAACAAACACAGAACACGCCTTACTGATGCAAATCTACAAGATTTACTCAGAGTTGCAGTGTCAAATTATACCCCAGATTACAGTACACTAGTGGACAGCATGCAATGCCAGATTTCCCACTAATAGAAGGCAAAGAAAGAGACAACAGATGTTTTCAGTGAAACACCATGCCAACGGTAAACTCAAATGTGGAACATCATTTGATCAAAAAGTGTACAAACATGGCTATTTTGTTAACAATTCTACAGATTTAGTGATTAATAAAAATATGATCTGATTGAGTTGATGTTCTTTTTTAAACTTTACATAATAATATTATATGATTATAATAAATAAATAATATTTTATGTTTAAATATATCTGTTTCCTACCATGGTAAATTATTGTGAAGAATAATTAACATTAACATGTGATCAGACAGTCCTTCACATACAGTCAATTAATATGGATTCTGATTATTATTAATAATAATATTATCATTAAAGGTGAACCGTGCAATTATGTTATTCAGGAAGTTTGTATCAAACAAGTAGCCCTTCGTGTTACTCAGTACCCTTGAAGTAGCCCTCGGTGACAAAAAGGTTGGTGGCCCCTGCTCTAGTCAAATAGATAAGAAATGTCTTATGTGACGTGTATGGTAAGGCAAATGGTTCTATACAACAGGTCTGCAGCTTCTCATAGTATACTAATTGTAAGTGATAGTTATGCCTACATGCAATAACAATTCCTCTTAACGGGTGGATATTTCATTTTCATACTTTTAAATATTTTAATTATTATTTGCATTAGCCAATATTGGTTAATATAATCAACAACTATTACACAGAAGCAGAACAACATTTAAAACAAAAAATGTAAATCAAATAAATATCCTAATTAGTTAATTCACAAAATAATTTATATTTATATTAATTTATATTTATATTTTAATGAAAATGACAAGTTCCATTTTTAAATTAGTATCAGAAAAAAACGTTTATTTGCCAAATAAAGCAGGTTCGCAGATTAGAGAAACTTGTCTTGGTGTTTTGAAGGAAATATGTATTTATAACAAATATTTAAAAAAATATCTGTTTTAAGGCAAAAGGACTGGACAGTTTTGGGTGGGGAAAATGTTGACCAGTGAGTTAAAAGTACAAGAATTTGTATTTTGCAACAGATATCGAGTGCTATAAAAGAAAATGTAATTCATTTCACACATTCTCTCAATGTTTCCACGTTAAACTCACATCAACAGCTTCATTGTAACAACATGTGACATGTTCTAACTACATGCAGTACATCCTCACAAGAGTGGGAAGAACATTTTCGATTTCCTCTGAAACACCTCTGTGGCTCTTGGTTTCTCACATCTGACGCCTCAACACAGAGAAACCGTCTCCTTGGTGAGTCAGATGTTCCTCCACATACCTCTTTGTGTGGCTTGAATTTGTCTCTCTTGCAGGCGGCGTACGTCCTCCACTCAAAGTAATGCACACACTGAGACACAGCCACAAACTCCGGGGTCCCCTGCAGCACACATACAGGAACAGGAGTGAGACGGATGCAAAATGCAAAGAAAATGCAGTTTTCAGCCTCCCACATATGGAGATGTTGAGAGAAAATAGTCCTTAGTTGCAACAGTTCCATATGATAGTGCTGTGGAGCAGGCAGTTACAATTCAACACACAGACAACAAATGTGATTCACTTAATGGCGACTGTGTCTGTGTTTTTGTTGGAATACAGAAACACAGACGCATTGAAACACACAAACATGTCTTAATCTGTTTATAACTGATATAGTGGATAACATGTGCCAGGCCCCATGACAGTATAAATGGTTAACATTAACTTCCACATTTAGAGTTGAGTGGATGAAGGTTCAGTGCTTGCTCAAGGGTTATTTTCAAGAACACTTATTGAGTGAGAGTGGACTTTTTTTTTTAATTCGCACTCTTGTCACTCTCCGTTACACCTTCTTCTACTTTACACACACACACGCACGTATACAACACTTCAGGGGACATTACATTGACTTACATGCATTTCCTGGAGACTTATCCTAACCTTAACCATAACCAACACATGCCTAAACCTAACCAAGTCTTCACCCTATGATTAATGATTCCCTCATGGGGACCTCCAATTTGTCCCCATAAGGGAGGCGAGTCCCCACACGTGACTGTGTAAACAGATTTAGGTCCCCACAAGTATAGTAATGCTAGGCCACACACACACACACACACACACACACACACACACCAAATCAAGTTACATAAATACTTGAGCTACGTTTTTATTATAATTACTGTGAAATGTATTATGTTTTCGTCAGTATTACAACAAATACACACTTGCAACTGATAACACTGGCAATGATTTTATATTTATTAGACTATTCAAAAAAAATCATGCTCCAAATAAGTGGGGGGACGGCGATCACCCGCGTCCAACGACCACTACACCACTGGTCATAACTAAATAGACTGTCCACTTCTGTGTCTAATCATTATAACAGATTATCACAATGTGGCTCTCATGACTTCTCCTTCTTCTTCCCAGCATTAGATGACTTTCATTTCTCCTCTCTACACTTTGTAAAAGGAAAATCTAGAGCTGATCGTGTTTTTCTTCTGCTCGGTGTGAACTGAAATGACACATGTGAATGTCCCCCCACCACCACGATCCCCTGAAACCGCAGACACACACACACTATTGACTCAAACGAGCAGGTGACTGTCATCGTTCGACATTATTCCCCCTCACTTCCTGTCATTGCAGCTGAGAGCCGACAGCTGCTCAAATGTCTTTTCAACTTGTGTGAAGAAAACATCCATTTCAATTCTAACTCATTACATTCGAGTCAAATATACAAATCATAACATGCTGAATACAAAACAGCTGATCATTAACATTTACTCAACAGTGTAGTGCACGTATTATTGTTCACCGTTGTAGCTTGTGGAGTGACAAACTGCATCAGAACACCTCACAAGGCTGAGTTTCTGCTGATGAAACCTGACTACTTTGCAATATAAACCCCTAATGGAGCTTTCTCACCAAAGCATTGCTGTGTCCAATTTTTTATTTGCTGACCGTCCTGTTATAAACAAAAAAAGGTGCCTACTAAACAATTCAGTTTCCACAGCATTATTTTTTAGGGAAACAAAAAAATGTCATTATTGCCCACACTACAGAGCGTGCCATGTCCCAGTTCCACATGTCCATATTTGTATTTGATAGCTATTAAAGTAAATTGCTGAAATATGCCACACCTTGGACATATAGCTCTTCATTGCTGCTTAATAGATGCCAAGAAGCGCAGCGTTAACTTTGCAAAGCAGGCATCAAAAAGTGTCTTACAAATGACCCAAAATCTAGGAAGATATCTAGTCACATAACTTAATATCAATGTAGACCACAACCATAATGGCCTTCCTCTCTCTAAGCTTCAGCCCCCCCTGCCTAAACACCACTCCTTGAAACACAAATCATCCGTTCTAAAAACACTCCCTGTGTGTGCGTGTGCGTGTGTGTGTGTGAGTGTGTGTGTGTGTGTGTGTGCGTGCGTGTGCGTGTCGTACCATGGTTTTCCCACACTGGAAGCTGATGCTGGTCTGGATGTTGTTGTCGCTTCCCGGACATTTCTCTGTGCTGTTGAAATCCAGCACCGAGCCAGAGAGCCTCTGCAGAGACAGCTCACCTGCACGGGAAAATACACAGAATAAAATCTGTCAATTACAGAAAATTGTGTTTTTTATGGATATGTAGAAATCTCACTCACGTTACAATAAGTCAAATGAAATATGCAGAAATGCAATTCAGTTTACGTTACAGTCATTACAGTACTTAGGGTGGAAGGACACCATTTGAATAATAAAAAAATGTAGCTTTACTCCTTTTAAAAAGGTCCCATGACATGGCCATTTCTACTGATCATAATTCCATTGTTGAGGTCTACTTAGGGGTGTAACGGTATCCGTATTCGTCCCGTACCGTCACGGTTCGGCACACGCAGTCACACGATGAATACGCTTTTTTTTTACGAGTGGGAAAAAAGTCTGTCATTCAGGGCAGTATCCACTACACTATATATAATCCAGGGGGCGGTATTGCGCCTAGAAGCTGTTTGCCAGTCGCCCTGAAACAACAAATGAACAAGAAGAAACACAACAACAAAACGAACAAAATACAAGAAGAAGAAAAGTTAGTACGGCGATTTCAGATAGCACACAGGAGCTAGAACCCACCTGCTTCTTTTAAATCAGCTGTGTGGGAACATTTCGGGTTCCCTGTGGACTAAATAACGATGAAGTGCGAGTGGTGGTTCAGACGAGGACGGTGTGTCGGCGTTGTTCGATAGCGGTGCTGTATGCTAATGGCAACACACGCCAAACATGCGACATCACATCAGAAGGCATCACCCAGATTTTCCGGAGCCGGCGAAAGACAGCAGCAGTTCAGCAGCTGATCCCCGCTGTTTTTAAGAAGCCAATAGACATGAAAGCCGAGAGACCGAAATAAATAACGGAAGCTTTTGGCATATGTTTTTCAACGACTATGCGCTCTTGAAACACTTTCTTATTATTTATGATGTAATATTTTCAAGACATTCTTTTTAGTTTTACAGCTTGATGAAACCTTTTTGTTTGACATCAGCCATTATAGATACTATGGCCAGTGTGTGTGGTAGCCTACTGTTTGTGGTTTGTTTTTAACTGTTTAATACAGTTCATTATTCAAAATGTCAGAGTTCCTTATTTTGAAACTGAAACTTGCTGTTCAAACATAAATAACATCAAACCTGGAATTATGCATTTGGGACTTTTTTTTGCTTTTTCTTGTTGTACCGAACCGTGACCTCCAAACCGAGGTACATACCGAAACGTGAATGCTGTGAACCGTTACACCCCTAGGTCTACTAGAATAGATTTACATTGTTCAATGTTCCAAACTCACATTGGTTTCTCACAGCATCTCTGTATAGTATGTGTATTCACTCTATGTCCTACACGGCTTGTTGGAGCTCCTTCTTTGTAATCTGATTACCACGATTACTACTGAATTACAAAAAGCTACACCAAAACGTTCAGTACCTAATGTTCAAATGTCATATTTGAAGGGATATAGACGTCATGATACCTGGCTACAGTTATTTCCGTGAATAGATTATTATAACGCTTATATAATAAAATGTTAGCTTTAAAAAAGGTAAAAATAAATCCCACAGTCTCTGGGTATCCGTGTGTGTTTCTGTAGGCGACAGACGGTTAGAATAATGTCTTAACCCACCAACCCTTTCTGACCCGAACACAAAGTAAACATGTGCAGCGTAACATCCCGACCCTGCTGTCAGTACACTCGTTATTCACCAGAGGAATATAATTAGACAACAGTGGGAAACATTTTGTGAAATAAACTCACAGCGAGAGGAACTGATGTCTGTAAATGAGTTACCGCATGTAGAGCATGTGACACGCTAAACATGCGTCTCTATTTCAGCGGCAACCAACAAGAAATTCAATGAATAATCCGTCTCATCTTCCCAGGTCCTTCAGAGTGTGTGCGTGTGTGTGTGTGTGTGTGTGTGTGTGTGTGTGTTTCTAGTCCTCCCATTCCTGTTTTTTTCAGTTTGACTGTTACAAAAACTTGTTGTTTCTTTCGTAAATATTGTTCTATTGACGAGTCAGTTTAGGAGAAACTTGCACAAGCTTTTAAAGAGTGTTTTTATTTGTGTGTGTGCCCTCTCTCCCTCTGATAGCATGACATACTTTTACCACAAAGGGAGCATTAAGGAAAGTAACTGAACAACACAGTGACCTACTAAGAACAAAACTACAGTAGGAGGCCGTGAGTGCCTCATGCAACTGCTCCTGTGATACTTTATACAGGGTTCAAACACTTTTTCACCAATGATTTTCCATGACCTTTACCTAATTTTCCATGACCAAAAAAAATTACTCTTTCTCAGCGGTACCACTGAAAATGGTTTATTTTAACATGGAACAGGAAAATAAGGTCTGAAACATGTTGGTCCTATCTAAAACAAATCAAATAGTAGGCTTACTCGCTTCTACACGCTGAAGCAACTCAAATCTCTCACCAGCAAAACACCTCGTCAGTAAAATACCATTTTATGTTTCATTACTATACGATACAGTATTTATTATCATTATAGAGTTACTATTTCTGATTAGATAAAATATAAATTATATTTGATGCAACTTTAGTTACATTTCCATGACTTTTCCAAAACTTTGGGAAAAATATTGTTTTCCAAAACTTTCCCAGGGCCTGGAATTAACATTTTGAATTTCCAGATTTTTCCAGGTTTTTAATGACCGTAAGAACTCCGTTTATATTTTCCAAACACTAACGTAAAACTATTGATATATCTCATTTTCAATTGAACTTTTCTGCAAGTTCACTGTCCCCAAAATAACGTTTGACATTGAACAGTCGTCATTATATAACGTCTGTAATAAGGAAGAGGAGTTTTTCTATCGACCATATGTTGAAGTTTGTTGACCAATATCAAAGAATAGGTAAGGCCAGTCAACCTTTACGACTGTTTGAAATACACAGATCCATCAGATAATTATGCAGAATGCGTGTTTTTAATGTCATTCAATTAGATCAAGCTGATAACTTTGATCAACAGAACATTCCTATCCTCCCAGGTGCGAATGAACTTCTACCGTTGCACCATCGAGAGCAACCTCTCCACCTGCATATCAGTATGGTACGGTAACTGCACGGTCAAGGACAAGAAATCACTGCAGAGGGTGGTGAAGATCGCACAACGCATCATCAAGATGCCACTCCCCTCCATAGCCTCAGTCTATGAAAAGCGGTGCCTGCGAAGGGCACGAAACATCATGAGAGACTCTTCCCACCCCAACCATACACTGTTTGTCTACGTGGCACTCGCTCTGGGACACGCTACCGCAGCCTCCCGGGTAGAACCAACAGGACTACGCACAGCTTCTTCCCTTCAGCAGTCAGACTGCTGACAATGAACCCCACGCTGTCCCATACTGCCTAGTTGTTGTCGTGTGCTGAAGCGCAATTCTGTATTCACTGTATTTATTATTATCTGTGTATTTATTCCTATTTATACATTTCCCATCTATTTACCTTTATTTTTGTATCATCATTTATTTTGTACATACTTCTGATAATTGTGTATGTAACTGACTGTTTTGCACTCTGGTTAGACCCTCCTTAAATGTCGTTACACTGTGCTTGCATTTTTGTAATGACAATAAAGTAATCTAATCTAATTCTGCAACTCTTTTGATTATCAATGAATCATTCGTGCTTTAGATTTGTAAACCTAATGCGATCCTGCATTCAGTAAAGTTACAGAAGTAATAAAGAAGTATCACATATTTAAAGACAATTATGCAGATGGTTAATTTTAATTTTTGTGTTACTATAAAAGCCAGAAAAACTAAATAATCAATAAGTAATCAATAAGTCAATTAAAATGAAAAAAGCAAACGTTTGTGCTTTTTTGTCTCGTGATGGTTAATTGATTTTCACTCTTTAACTGTTGCTCAACCAATGTGAAGACGTCACCTTGGACTTTGAGATGGACTCAGCTCCGATAAGAAACGATTCATCTAAAAAGCAAATCAAAAGGTGATGGCTGAAAGGTAATGTTAAGAAACCATAAGCCAGAGCCCAGTCTGCTCTGATTGGTCAACTCCTTAGCCTATCATGATGTACGATGTGTTGGAGCGCTAGCCAATAGAAGCGTGAGTATTACATAGTGATGTCACTACGATCCGGAAATAAACAAATGAGTCCAATGGAGGCGTTTCAGGCCACCTATATAACACAATATAGTGAAAGGAAACCCCAATACTGTGTTTCTATATGGTCATGCCAATAAAGTTGATTTGAATTTGTATTGAGAGCGATAGACAGAGAGAGAGAGAGAGAGAGAGAGAGAGAGAGAGAGAGAGAGATAGATAGATAGATAAAGAGAGAGCGAGAGAGAGAGAAGAGAGATAGAGATTTATAGATGGATAGATAGATAGAGAGAGAGCAAGAGAAAGAGCGAGCGAGAGAGAGATATATAGATGGATAGATATATAGAGAGAGAGCGAGAGAAAGAGCGAGAGAGAGAGAGAGAGAGAGAGAGAGAGAGAGAGAGAGAGAGAAGGGCGTGACAATAGTGTCTATTTCTGTTTGAGAACGTTTCTGCTCGATGTTCCGAGTCATGTGATAAGTCAGCTGCTTGTTTGTCTTTCTTTCACTTTCCATACACATGTAGGCAGAGGTGGAGGAAGTATTCAGGTCCTCTACTGAAGTACCACTTTATTATATATCTCATATGTTAGTTCTACTAGAACACTGGAAATGTCCCCGACGTGGGACGAATGTGGATTTCTGTGCAAAAATAGGCTGAGAAATATAACACAACAACAACAACAACAACATGAGTCTGCAGTCTCCAGCTCTTTGTCAGTCTGAGAGTCAGGTGACACGCCGAGAGCGACCAAACACCAATCTGTGACCGAGGGGGGGCGGGGGGGTCACAACCTCAGACTGAAGGCAAGTTGGTGTCAAGTGACTCTGAAATAACTGTCTGACAGCTCGGCAAAATCAAAGACAGTGACGGAGCTGAAGTTGAGAAATAGCCCCAAATAAATAACAGTACTCCTGTGTCTAAATATAGATTATATTACGGAGCTA